CCCTCAAAGTCCAAGCCCTATAATTCTTAAATTATCTTTATGCATCCTGTCTACAAGATCAGTATGCTCTATTTGTACTGGGATGGTTTTCTTTTAACTTTTTTTTTTTGCCTTTCTTCTTCTAGTTGTTCTTTCCTTTCTTTGTGAAATTTGCCACAATCTGAAGTTTTGCTTTGTCTTTTTTGCCACAATTTATGAACTAAAGTTTTTCTATTCTGCAAATTACTTTTGCTGTTCACAGACTACACACTGGGCTTAAGAAATGATGGGGTGATAGTTTAAAAGAAACATGGAAAGATTTTGTACGAACTGATGCAATGTGAAGTAAGGAGAACAAGATGTACAAAGACAGCAATAATGTAAAGTCAAAGAATTTTGAAATATTTAGGAACTCTGATCAGCATAATGACCAACAAAAAATCCAAAGGATTAATGAAACATGCTACTAATACCCTCTTGATAGACAGGTGAAAGACCAAGAGTATTAAATAACACAATTTTTTTCTTTGGACATGTACGATACAGAATTTTTTTTTTTTTACTATACATATTTGTAGCAGGGTTTTGTTTTTCTTTTTTTTCTCTCAATGGGGGAGATGGAGATTAGGAAAGAAGGTAAAATTTTGCTGAAAATTTTAATTAAAAACATTAAAAATGATTTAAAATAAAAAATAGTTAGGAAAGAAGTTTCAGTATTAGGAATGATGTTATGTCAAAGGTGGTACTTCAACCGACTCCTGAAGGAAGTGAGGGATTCAAAGAAATACTGATGAAGACATCTTATATTCTAGGTAAAGGGGATAGCAAGTGCAAAGAGTACAGAGATGACTATGATAATGATGATATTAATAGCAACAATAATAGCTAGCATTTATATAGTGCTATCAGATTTGAAAAGAGCCGTACATGTGTTTTCTCATTTGAGATGGAACGTTGTTTATGAGGAAAAAAGAGAATCAAATTTGGACAGACTATGTAGAGCATGGGAAGGAATAATATATATAATGATGCTGGAAATTTAAGTTGAGGCCAGGTTGTGAATAGTTTTAAAAGCCAAACACAAGAATTTATATTTTACACTAGAGACAATGTAGAGCCATTGAAGCTTACTGAGTAAGAGGATAAGATTGTGTTTAAGGAAAATCTTTTCAGAAGCTTATATGGTGACATGTGGTTTCTCTGATAGAATACAAGCTCCTTGAAGTCAGTATCTGTTTCTTTTTTCCAGTATCCTTAGTAAGAAGCACAGTGCCTGACATATAAGGGTGTTATATTATATTATATTATTATATTAAAGGGTGGTTCATTTATTGGTCTGTGCTTTAAGAATATCAATTGGCAGTTCTATGGAGAAGAACAAGGAAAGCGAAAAACAGTTCCAGCTCTCAAGGATCTCACAGTATAATGGGAAAGAAAACAATTATACAAAAACATCATGTACACAGGATAAATTGGGGTAACATCAGAGGGAAGGCACTAAGATTATGGAAGATTAAAAAAGGCTTTCCACAGAAGTTAGCCAAGTTAAACCTGAAAGAAGGCAAAGAAGCAAAGACAAAGAGGGAGAGAGTCAGTGAAAATACCTAGAATTGGGAGATGGAATGTTTTGTGTGAGGAACAGAAAGGAGGTCAGTACAGTCTAAGACTAGAAAGGTAAAAGGTTATGAGAAGGTTATATGAAGGGCTTTAAAAAGCCATATAAAGGACTTGATATTTAATCTTGGAGGTAATAGGGAGCCAATGGAGTCTAATAAATAAAGGGGTGATTTGGCCAAGCAAGATCTTTTGCAAAATTAATTTCACAGCTAAGTGGAAGACATATTGAAGTAGGGAGAGACTTGAGGCAGGGAGATCAAATAGAAGGCTACTGAAACAGTACAGGCATGAGGTGACAAGGACCTCCACCAGAATGGTGGTAGTATCAGAAGAGGGAAGGGATGTTTTGAAACAAGAGGTGTTTCAATGGTAGAGTAATTGGACTTGGAAACTGATTGCATATGGAGGGTGTGAGTAAGATATCAAAGATGACACTTAGGTTATGAGGCTGAGTGATGAGGAGGATGATGATGCCTTTAAGAGTAGTAAGAAAATTAAGAAGAAGAAAAAGTTGGGGGACAGGAGGGACAGGGAATAAAATCGAATTCAGTTTCATACATATTAAATTCAAGATGTCTTTGAGGCATATAGCTAGGGATGTCAAATAGGTAGCTGGAAATTTGAGACTGTAGGTCAGGCGACAAATTAGGGCTGAAATTTCAGAGTTCATGAAAATAGAAGTGGGTAATCACTTATGGGTAATGGCAAGATGAAGGGCATGACCATCTCTGGAGGCAGCTGAGATTAGATGATAGAAGCAGATAATGGGAAATTAATTAAGTTGGTGAACTGAGAGGTTAGGGTATTTGAGGGAGTATCAATATGTATGCTGCAGTCTCCTAGTGGATGGCAGGAATGAGGGAAGAAATGAAGACTGTGAACCAGGAACTGAAGTCACTGAAGAAGGAAGGACAGTGTCCTACAGGCTAACAGATAGCTGGGTGACAAATATAGAAAGAATAAACCTTACAGGAAAAGAGGTTACTGAGTGACAGTAGAACAGGGAGAGACAGCAATGAAGAAAAAGAAATGGATAGAGTGCAACTAATGCTGAAAAGCATTTCCAGCTGAAAAGCACCAGAAACATAGTACAGGATAGCAAGAAAAATGTCTAGGTTCTAAATACAGTTCTAGAAGTTGACTGCATAGCAATGATAAATTAAATTATGAGAAATGAAGAAATTACTGAGAGGTTACAAAGAGAAAGAAGAAGATATTTGTAGGTTTCTAGACTAATATGGTCAATGTCTAGATATAATAGTTGACAGAAAGTAATGACACTAGCAAAGTTAAGTTCACCATCATTCAAAATGTAAAATTCATTGCTTTTGGCTAATAATTTACAAATCAAATGTTAAATGCATAGTGTACTTAAAATAAAGATAATCCCCTCTCCATATACTCGTCAAGAGAAAGAAAAACAAAGAAAGACACATTAAATTCATGAGTACAAATAATAATTAGCAGTATCTTTTAAAAAAAATTCATCCTTGATTCTGTAATAAATCAGACATTTCTCTACCCTTTGCTTACTTCTTAGAAAGATGATCTGACAATATAACACAGCATTCAAATTGAAGAAATGATCAATTTAGATAATTACATGCATCTTTATAAGAACCTTATTTTAAAACAAATATATGAGCACTTTATGTATGTGAAGTTCTCTTGTATAAAAAACAAATATCAAGAAGGGCAAAATATCTGTGACACTGATAATACAATAAGTAGAATAAATTAGGAATACCTGACAATCTCACATCAGAAATGGTCACAATTCATTCCAAGCAGAAAAAAATGGTAAAATAGAAAGTAGTTAGAACTGTAGATATATCTGCCAATTTTAAAGTAAAGATAACTATTTGAACATTAAATGTCTAAAAACACACACAAGAAGTCATACTTTATTAACAGAATCATTAATTTCCATTCTGATCACATATCAATATTCTTCAATATCAAAGTTCAAAAATATGAGAAACCTTTCCTCACCCGTAAACCTACCTCTCTCCTACCTGCCCACTTCTATGCCAAAAGTAAGGCTAGGCTATTTGGAGATGCTACAGGTAAGAACCTGGAGAGAAGCTCAAACTCACATACCATACTATTGTTACAATAAAAAACTGCTGAAAGATAAGTAGCAGGAAAAAGGATAACACGTAGAGGTAAGCCTATTAGCAATAAATGTTTAAAATAACAGGCAATGGGAATAAACATTTTTTACAGAATGAAAAAAGAATATCAGAATATTATCCAAAAAAAGCCTTTTAAAACTATACAAACTCTCACATTTAAATAATATACAATTAGGTTGGGCCCCATATTCCCACTCCTTCATTTTCATGAACACTAACCTTTCTCATTGAAAGCTCTGTAGACCTAGCATGCTAAGGCATGGCAACACTGCTGATACCAATATATATGTCAGCAAATACAAAGTCACTTTGTCTATACATTCTGAGCTTCTAGTATGCCTCAAATTTTATTCTAGTCCACTTAATAAAGTTAGTCTGTCATTCAAATAAACAAAGTTTTAAAATTTAATTCATTTGAAATCAATAGTGCTCAGAATGAAATTACTAACTACATCATTTTTCAGCTTACCCTACAATTTGCATAATGTAACTGAACATCTGTACTTATGGCATTAAAAATCATTCTATGAAAAAAGTTTAAACTGATGAAATCAACTGATAATGAATTAGAGAAAGTTTAACCAGAATAAGGGGGAAAATCCTAAAGAAAAGATAAATAAAAATACAAATATTCAGTTACTCATCATTTTTCCAAATTACATTGTTAACTAACTACATTTTATTTCTGCCAAACATTATATTCTCCCTCTCCATCATTCACTCTATTTCACATCAGTAATTTTAAGGGAAGCTGATAACATCGTTAGTACAAAGGAGAAAAAAAGTGCCTAACAAGTACTATACACTAAAACTCACCTTTAGGTAAACTCAGTTACTAAAAGACTTTCATTTAGTTAATGAACTTCTGTTGGTTAAAAAAAACAAAAAAACTACTTTGCACACTGATTAAAAACAAATGATATTTGTAAAATATATTAAACAGGTTATTCAAAAGGTATGACATGACAATGACCAATACTACAACTAAAATTAAGATTTTCTTCTTAAAACAAAGATATGCCACCATTATCCTCCATTTACATACTGAATACAATACTGCTTCTACTGCTTTCAAATTTAGTACAGCTGTTATGAATTTTTGGCCTAAAAAAGTAGCAAAATGCCCATTCCTATTTTTTAATGGATAATTCTATTTTGAGAAAATGAAAAATTGGCACCAAACATACAGTAGTGAAATAATATCATGTGTAACAAATGAGATACATTAAAAATTAGTAATAACAGGCTATGCAAAAATTATATATTTACCTTGGCTGCATACTCAGCTTTATGACAGTTTTTCGTGGCAGACTATCTTGTGATTGTTGTTCACTCTCCTATAAGGAAAAACAAGATACTTGATACTACTTTCAAAATTCACACTTCAGAAATGGCTGTTGTAACTGTGGTGAAGAATTTCTAACTGTAAATTGATACAATACAAAATTCTCCATTCATGTCAAGTCTTAGCAAAATTCATGTTTAATTATTACGTAAGACCAAAACATATGCAATTAAAAATAGAAAACAAATGGAGCTAGAAGTTTTTAACAAAGAATATCAAGTGAAAATTAAAAATCATTTTTTTATATCATTCAAAGAAAGATAATTATATAGGAAGAGCAGAAAGAGAACTGAGGGGGTAGCTAGGTGGTGAGTGAATAGAGAACCAACCCTGGAGTCAGAAGGACCTGTGTTCAAATTTGACCTCAGACACTTGACACTTACTAGCTGTGTGACCCTGGGCAAGTCACTTAACCCCAAATACCTTGCCAAAAAGAGAGAGAGAGAGAGAGAGAGAACTGGACATCTTTCAAACCAAGATGACTTGGTGAATCCCACCTCTAACTCGTAGCATGCAGCCTGGCAACTAATATTTTAAGATTCACACAATAGGCTGACTTGCTTTGCTAGGAAAAATTTCTTTACAGGGAGTTTCCTATACTAGTAAAATCACAAGTCCAGTCCTCATCCCTACCCCAACATATATGTATGATAGTCAATACTTTTTGTAACACTCAGGCATTCATTACCTCAGTGTGTCCTCAATTTATCATAAAAAGAGACACTGAGTCAATGATGATGAGGACAATGGCTAACATTTGTATAATACCTAGTATGAGCCACTGCTGAGTGCTTTATAAGGATGATTTAATCCTCACAAAAACCCTAGGAAATAGAAGCTATTATTATCCCCATTTTACAGATGAGGAAGCTGAAGCAAGCGAGCTTAAGTGACTTGCCCAGGGTCACAATAGTATTAAGTGTCTAAGGTAAAATTTAAATTAAGATATTCCTAACTTCAGGTCCAGGTGCATTATCCACCTAGCTGCCCCAGATATTTAAGAACCAGTAAGTAAAATTTTTAAAGAAGCCCAAGTTCCTGAAGCAAATATAAATAACAAATTCAAATGTACCTATGAAATTAAAATATCTATCATCTGGTAACAGACACAAAAATTCAAAAGCTTTAATTAAAAGTTATTAGTGCCAACAACAAAAGTGTAATAGAATTCTATTAAATAAATTTGCTAATTTTTCTTTCCTGTAGTAGATATTAGCTCTATTTAATGATAAGTCAAGAGAGCTAAGAGCTTATAAGGTCCAGAAAGGTTTTGTCTGAATTGAGAAAACTAATTAAGATCATCCAGAACAAAGTTGCAGCAACAACACATTCTGGAGGAAATAGGAGATGAGAGTGTAAGTGTCAACCCATCTCTGATCTGAGCTAAGAAAAAATGGGAACTAGTTCAAATGTAATGTCTGCCTATCAAAATCATAAAAACAAATTTTGAAAACTAACAATACTAAAACTAGCTAGAATTTATATAGTACCTACAATGTATCAAACTCTATAGTAATCTATGTCCCAACCAGTAATTTCTAATAGTTTCATCATTTCTGTTCATTATATATTACTCAAGTTAGATGTGCCATAGCATTTCCATTTGAATTATCACAAAATTATTATTATAAATGGTTTCAGACATGTAAGTTTAGATTTGTTGTTTAGCTGTGACCATTCGTGACTCCATATGGGGATTTTGTGGCAAAGATACTACAGTGGTTTGCCATTTCCTTCTCCAGAGGCAAAAACAAGCTAAGTGACTTGCCCAGGGTCATACGTATTTGAAATCAAGTCTTCCTGACTCCAGGCCCAGTGCTTTATCTACTGAGGCACCTAGCTGCTTGGAAGGAAAGATTTACCTATCTGCAAATGGACAACTCATGAATCACAGTATATGCCATTTAGTGGATAACAGGTAATGAGATAATTACATTTAAATGTCTCTCTTAATTATTCTTTCACACCAAACAAGATTATAGCTATATGTTTCAAAAAAAGAATGAAAATACCGAATCAGATAAACTAACCATCTGTAGGAAGGGGATGGATGGGTTAAAGCTGTAGGCATCTTTGTCCTTCAGAATGAGAATATGAGCAGAATCTCTGATTATCGTCTTCAAGTTCATTATGGAATGGAAAAGTCTGTGAAAAGAAAATTACTGTTTTGAGAACTAACTCAAATACCAAGAAAATCATTTTTTGTTTATTACTATAAAGAGTAAACTTCAGGTTTATCACATATATACAGATGTATATATACGCACACATACACACGCATGCGTATGTGTGTGTATGTGTATAAAATCAATGAAGAAAAAATTTTTAGATCTCAAAAAATTCTTTTCCAGAACTCCATCTTTAGGAGAACAAGGAGTAACAATAAAAAAAAAGCTTAAAAAATTATCTTAATTTTTAAAAAAACTTCTAATAATAATAAAAACTTTCTTCTATATTTCTCTACAATGAAAAATAATGTTCAGAATGACCATCATGATTCACCGTAAGATCCTCTATCAAAATATCATTATAAAATTTACTAACAGAAGCAGAATGTGAAAATTTAGCAATATTTTCAACAAAGAATGAGGTAAAAAAGGAAGGGGGGATTTCTGACTATCCTTCACAAGTCTATAGGTCAGCTGATGATAAGTCATTTTTGTTATATAGCCATAATCATTTGCCTGGAGAATTAATATTTCTAAAATTATTATATTCATAAGGCTTACTGTGAAATAAATTTGACAAATTAAAACACTACCATATCTATTTAAACCTTTGAATCAAATGACTAGAACTGTGTAGACATCTTGATCATGTTTATACCAGTGAACTCCTAGCCACCAAAATTAATTCTTTCCTCTTATAGATTATCATCAGGTTTTTTTTTTCAATGCAGGAAAACACTGTTCTTTGAAAGTTTTTTACTCTATTTACAAAAAGCTATGTTTCCTATAAAGAATTAAATATCTAGAGAACTGAGCAACCAAAAATATTCGTAGGATAATAAAAATGTTCTTGTTAGGGAAAAGTAACTCGTAACCCAACTAAAGTTTTCATTCTACACACCTGAGTATTCACTCCAATAAGAAAAAGTACTCTCATTTGACAGACAGAAATGTGTATAGCTCAGTTAGGCAGAAAAAAATTGGACCAAAAACTTGGAAACTAGAAGCATTGATGAGATCACATCTATTAAACTGGCTAATATGACAAAAGGAAAATGACCAATGTTGGAGGAGATGTGGAAAACAGACACTAATGCATTGTTGATGGAGTTGTGGTCTGATCCAACCATCCCAGAGAAAAATCTGGAACTATGTCCAGAGGGTTATAAAACTGTTCTTACTCTCTGAATACCACTACTAAATCTGTATCCCAAAGAGACTGAAAAAGAAAAGAAAAAAGGGAAAAGGGCCTATATGTATAAAAATATTTACAGCAGTTTTTTTACTGGTAACAAAGAACCAGAAAGGGAAGGGATACCCATCAATTGAGGAATGGTTGAACAAGTTGTGGTATATGACTATGATGGAACACTACTAGGCTATAAGAAATGATGAGGAGGATGCCTTCAGAAAAACCTGGGAAAACTTACATGAACTGATGCAAATTGAAGTGAGCAAAATAAGGAGAACAGTGTACATAGTAACATAAATACTTGATGAACAACTGTGAATTATGTAGCTATTCTCTGCCAAGATAATTCCAAAAGTCTCATGACAAACCTCCAGAAAAAGAGCTGACAGAGTCTGAATGTGGATTGAAGCATACTTTTTTTTACTTTATTTTTCTTGTCTTTTTTTTAACTTGAGGTTTTTTTTTTCCCACAACATGACTAATATGGAAATATTTTCATGACTGCACATATGTAAAATATAGAGGACAAGAGAATTTGGAACTCAAAATTAAAAAAAAAAAAACAAATGTAAAAAATGTCCTTTACATGTAATTGGAAAAATAAAATAAATTCTGTTACTATTTTTCTACCTCAGTAAAATAATTTTTTGGTAATTTAACTGGGTGGCCTTGAATATAAACAAGTTGTGATACATGATCATGATGGAATACTACTGTGCTATAAGAAATGAGCTTGATGGTTTTAGAAAAACATGAAATAATGAAGAGCAAAATGAGCAGAACCAAGAGAACACATATACAGTATGTACAGTGTTACATACACAGTAACAGCAATAGTTTTAAGAAATTTTATTGACTAAGTCATTTTGATAGAATACCCAAATGCACTATAAAGGAACTATGAAGGAAGATGCTATCTGCATCCAGAGAAAGAACTGATAAATATTAGTATTTATAGTATGGCTTCACACATATATACATATTTGTGTCTAATGGTAGCCATCTGTAGGGTGGGGGTAGGGAGGACAGGTGAGGAAACAAAGTTACATGATGACTTTATTATATATTTAAAAGGTTTTCCTTTTTGTTATGGAAGCTGTGCATAACACATTATCAGTTTTATGTGCCATCCTATTTTTTCTATTCTGCTACATTATGGAAATACTTGTTTTAAGTTCAGAATTTAAAATTTAAGAACAACAAAATATTTTAAAAAGAAAAATAAAGTAGGCTTTTATACTTGAACTTAAAAAAATCCAAAGAAATGTGTAAAATACACAGATACCCCTTATTCTTATTGTAAATGTACAATTTTCTCATCCAGTGAATCCACAAAAATTTAAGTACGGTTTATTTTAAAAGAAGCATGGAAATTACTGCTGTTCAACAGTTCTAGTCTTTATATTCAATGCAAACTATTAATACTGCAACTAGATCAAATATATACAAAAACATCATGGTTACAAAGCACTTAGCCTTATTTCATTTTCATAACAATAACCCCATCAGGTGGGCAATGTAAATAGTATTACCCCAACTTTACTGATGCAAAAACTTGGACTTCAAGAGTATAATATCGTATATGGAAGACTGGTCATAAAATGGAGGACTTGTCTTGTGTCCTGTGGCTGCCAATAACTATGTTTCTGAACAAGTCATTTCTCTAGATTTTAGTTTCTTCATCTGTAGGAGGGGGCTGAACTGAATGACTTAAGTCATATATGCTATAATTCTAGAAATTAATCTTTAGATGCTGTTTGATGATTCCCTCCCCCCTTATACCATGATGCCTCTAACCATCTTTTCTCTAATATGAAGGAATTTCCAAAATAAAACTCATTAGATCTGCTCCTCTGCCTGTCTACTTTTCAATTCCACAACAACCTCTTGGTTACTCTTCAAGCTTACAACTCTGCTCCACTCCAATCTTTTCTTAACATCTTATTTTCACATAAATCGTGTAATTCTCCTACTTAGAAGCCTAGAAGGGTTCTACATAAGCTCTAATGTAAAATCATATGCTTTAAGATTGTTGCATATTGACTTAGAAAACCACTTTTTTTTTTTTTTTTAAGGCAACTGGGGTTAAGTGGGGTTAAGTGCCCAGGGTCACACAGCTACTAAGTGTGTCAAGTGTTTGGTCTGAGACTGGATTTGAACTCAGGTCCTCCTGTTTTCAGGGCTGGTGCTCTATCCACAGAAAACCACAAATTAACATTATCTATTTTGTTCTGTTTTTATTTCTTTTTTAAACATTTGCCAATTTCATTTTAATCTGGTTCCAACCACACTTTGGAGTTTCGCCCACCACTATAACAAGTTAACTGCTTTAAGACCTTATAACAAATGAAGAGCGCTACGCTTTTGGATTGGAAAAAGGCAATCCATTTAACATTGCTTTTAGAACATTAGATTGTTGATATGGAAAAAAAAACTTATTTTTACTAAGTGTGCATGGAAAAATTTCTAACTTCCTCAAATAGTAGACTCTAAACTGCTCAACACTGCATTAGTTCAACAAATTTAATAAAATCAGGATGTTACAGGTGGAATAGGTTTTATGAGAATTCAGTTCAACTCTACATAAAATCGGTAAGGAAACTGAGACACAGAAAAAATAAAATTACTTGAACAAAGTCAGACAGCTAGTTAATGGAAGAACCATGACTAAAAGTAGGGTCCCATTTATTAATTCTTCTCCCAGCTGGGAGATCCTATAATAGCAAACTCCTACATTAACTTCCTTTCTTTCATCTTTTTACGAGTATTTATAGTCCCATTTTCTTGCTCTTAACTTTGAATATTCTTCCATTCTACTTTCAAAGTTATGCCTGAAAAGAGTATTGGTATTACATTTACTTTTTAAATAATATCAAGAAGGAAAAAATTTTGCTAATAATTCATAAGTGGGCAAATAAAAAGGGGAAAAATAACACTACTAAAATTTACTTATTTAAGCTAGTATTTAAATGTGTTGATTTGACTGTTTCTACCAATACCTACATAGAGAAATTTAACTCCTTTTAAGAACACTATCTTCAACTTATCTTGAACAATTTCTAATTAGAGATGTTTTCAAAACTTCTTTTTATACAATTTTGGCTAATGAGCTGGTTTTTCAAGACTTTTCAATTAAGTGTTTTGAAAATATCTCATCAACCTATTAAGACAGAAAAAGATAAGTTCACTTAAATCTGGGTTTGGGGGAAGCAGTAACATAATACGATAGAAAGATCACTGGTCTGGTAAACAAAAGATCTTCTTTCAAGTCCTGGTTCCATTATGGTTCGGAAAATCCCAAACTCTCTAAGACTCAATTTCCTCATTTGTAAAATGGCAATAATAATACTTACACCACATACCTCAAAAGTTCTTGTAAAGATCAAATTACAGATGAAGCATGATAAAGTAGGTATGGAGTCAAAGGGTCTGGTTTTGAATTCTGACTCTGCTACTTGTGCATGTGAAACCCTTAGTTAGGCAAAGTCATTTAACCTTTCTGGGACTCAAGTTTCCCCATTTACAAAATAAGGGATATAAAATTAACTCTCAAAGTTGATCCCAGTTCTACCCTTAAAGACTCCTTATGTCAACTACAAAAGATCAATTAATTTGACCAGGTACTCAGTCCACAGCTGGGGAAGACTACACTATCATGTCTTAGCAAACATTTCTCCATAGAAAAAAATGTTACCTGGTGGCCACACTTCTATAACTAGTCTCTTTAAATTTAGTAATGTTGGTCTTCAGATGATATACACACAGCCTATATCACTTGGCTTATACTGAAAGCTTCCTTAGATTGATATAGCTTGCCAGATGGTTTACCATATTGAGCCATCTCCATGTCACAATCAGAGACGAGAGAATGTCAGCAGATACCACGGCAATAAGGACTATTATTTCTTTCCAGTCATCTGGACATACCAATTGACTATGTTTTTGTAACAAGGACCTTATGCAATTTTCACCATCAAATTACTATACTAATTAGAACATTTTATCAAAATGTTTTAATGCAATTAAGATTTCCTCTCAAAATAGGTGTATAAACCATAGACATAAAAACACACCCATAAATTGAGGAATGGCTGAACTGTGGAATATGAAAGCAACAAAATTTTATTGTGCCATATTAAATGAGAAATAAGACAGATTCAGAGAAACATGGACAGATTTGTATGAACTAATGCTGAATGAAGTGAAGAGAACAAGAGCAGTTCATTCAAGGACCATAATGTGAGGGGAAACAATTCTGAATTTTGGCTCAAGTAGCAGCCAGCCATCACTTCCAAAGACTGATGAGGAAATCTATCTTCCACAAGCTGGCAGAGAAGGGATGGGTTAGAGGTAAAGAACTATACATGTATTCTCAGGGTGAATATCTTAATTTGTTTTGCTTGACTACAAATATTTGTTCCAAGAGAGTGCTTAGACATGAGGGAAGGTGGGGAACATGAATAAAGAATTTTTAAAATTGCAGATGGCAGGGGAAAAATGGAGGAAGGGTATTTAAAAAAAGAACAATTTAATACCTGGTAATTTACATATGTGTAAAGAAAATCTACAACAAGGAATGTGACAAAGTTTGTGGTTTCTTACATGGTTCTCTTCCCTATTCTTTGTGTCTTGAAATGCTTGTGATTGTTAATGATTGCAGAATTTGTTTTTTAAGAGAGATCATGGCAATCCAAATTATCAGAAGTCCTTCTAAAAGTGAAGTCAAACAAATATGTGAATGAGATTCATAATTAGCATTTGTTATGATTGGAAAAGTGATTGTGGTAAATTTTTATAAAACAGAGGTGCAGTTTCACATACTTAATGCATACTGAACAAAGGGGCACATTTTACAATCAATGTGCACGCATATTTATATATTAATTTTACAACTTTTAATTATGTTAATAGTAATATACCAAAGACTTAAGAGTTAGAAGGGATCTTACAGGACAATTTACAGAATAACTAGTTCAAATTTCCTCTCGATGCCTGACAACTGTTTATCCTGAATATCTGTAAACTTCAAATGAGATGGGAAGTTCAGTACCTCTGAAGGCAGAGCACTTGACTTTTTGAAAAGTCCTTTGAAAAGCTTATCATATATTTAACCGTAATCGTTTCCCTTATAACTTACATCTACTGGTCTTAATTTCATTTTTTTAAGTAGGAAACAAGTCTACTATTTCTTCAATGTGACAGTCTTTCAAAGACAGTTAGTGTAGTATACAATAGAAAGAGCACTCAATTTAGAAATAGAGAAGACGAAATCCCGTCTCTGTTACTTACTGCTTTATGACACTGGACAAGTCACTTTACTGCTCAAGGTCTCAGCTTCCTATCTATAAAATTAGGGAGTCGGACTACAATGACCTCCAAGATTCCTTCTAACTCTAAATGTATGATCTAAGAAATATTTGAAGAAAACTATTACATCTCCATTCTCAGGCTAAAATGTCTTCTCTCAGGGCTAAAGATTTCTAATTCCTCTGACCACTCCTTATTTGATATATATCTTTCACCATTCTGATCACCTTCTTCTGTATATACTTTATTTTGTTAACATGCCTTTCAATATGACATCAAGAATGGAACAATTCCACTAGCTGACCAAAATAGGCACTTCCCTCAATATCTGCTTTTATAATACATTATTTACAGATTATTTATTTGATGATTAAGTCCTCAGTTAGAAACTACTTCCCCCTCCTCTGCAATAGCATCATTGCTATATATGACCTGTTTTTATAACAAAACAGTTTCTGGCAAAACATTACATTTAAAAATGGTTTATATCAACACTTTCACTATGTTTCATAAGAAAGGCTTTGCACATTGCCAAGGGTTTTGCAAAAAAAACAAAAAACAAGAAATACCATTTGGGGCAGTATGATCAACGCAACTTAACATGTATAGGAAACTGTATTAAAACTAAAACACAGAAATAAAAAATTGAAATTAACATATATATATATATATATATATATATAGGAAAAAAATAACCTTTAAAAACTACATTACCTAGTGCCGTAATCCACAACCACCCAATCTTTAGCAGTTCCTGTAATGGCATCATGATGTTGAAAAAGTCCAAGATTCCTTCTGGCTTCTGTCAGTAATTGATAATATGATGACGAAGGGAACAAACTTGTCTTCTTATATTTCTGAGCTTGTATTCGTGCAAAAGAATAAAGAATCTCAGCAGCCCTAATAGTACAAAAATATCAACATAAAACACATTATGAAATAGATAATATATTTGCATTTTATAAAGATTTGTAAAATAAAACACTGAAGTATAATGGAAAGCACTGGATTTAGAATTAGAGGATCTAGTTTCAAATCCTGTCTTGGGATTAATGACTTATGTTTCCTTGAGCAAATCATTTTATCTCTATAGACCATAATTTGCCTACCTACATAAATGAAGGGGTTAAATTAAACTCTACAAATCCCCTTCAGCTCTAAATTTTATAATTCTATGATTCTATGACTTCATTAGAAAAAAATCTCAATGATAGCAAATTAATTCTTCAATACAGTAACTTGATGACACATGGGATTCCTGCTGATTTAAGTCTTTTCTTTATATATTTTTCTCCCCTGGTGATTTCATCCACTACAATAGATTTAATTATCACCTCTACAAAATAACACCCAAATCTATATATCCAGATAAAATTTCTCTCCTGTGCTCTACCTTTGATTTGCCATCTGGTTGCTATAAATTTATATGGAGAAGTCTCATTCAAAACTCACCAGTTCTAAAACATGGGGGACCAGGGCAGGGTGGGGAGCAGAGAGAAAGGATGGAAGGAGGAGAGAATGAAAGGTGGGAGAAGGGGGGGTGAGGGGTGAGGGAGGGAAGGAGGAAAGGAGGGAGAGAAAGAGAGAGACAGAGAGAGACAGAAAAGAATCTCTTGTTAAGAAAAGGGCCTGACCCCATTTCACACCCTTGCTCAGAACTCTTAAGCAACTTCCTAAAGTCTCTAGAATAAAATCTTCATGTCAGAATTTTTGAGCCATTTACCATGTAACTTTCATTTACTTTTCTATTGTTATTTCATATTACTTCCTAACACTCTGTACTACTGACTTTTCTCAAAACTTAACATTAGTGGTTCCCTTTTTTAAGAATTCATTCTTCCTAATTTTTTTAAAAAATTCTTTACATACAAAAAAAAAGTGAGCATTTCCAAATATGCAGAACACAAAAAAGAGGATTGTGTATGAAATTGTGAAACTCCATGTCACAATGTTGTGGGTTATTATTTATCACTTATTAATATTGTCTGAACTTAGGTTTATGTGGTTAGAAAATTGTTTAATCAAAAAGCTTATAGTAGAGGTCAGACACTGACCTCAGAGACGCTACAGGGAAGTCAGGTGGTTATAAGGAATGCTTAGATGCCACCAAGTACTTGTTTTGCCGCCCCCCCAAAGCTTATATCTTGGGTTCCTCAAATTACACTGATTTACCTGTTGATATACATCTCAAACTGCTTTTTTCTTGGAGACTACCTATTGCCTACATGAAGCCAATTACGCAAATATCATTATGGCCTTATCTGAACTCTATAGAATGTAACCAAACATTTAGGGAAGGAGCCACCCCTTCTCTCCAGCTCTCTCTAGTAATGACCTAATAAATTTCTTTCTAAAACTATTTCAGATTTTGGGATTTGTTCTTGTGAACAATACTGCTTTAAGGGGCAGGTAGGTGGCGCGGTGGATAAAGCATCAGCCCTGAAGTCAGGAGAACCTGAGTTCAAATGCGGCCTCAGACCAAACACTTGACACTTACTAACTGTGTGACCCTGGGCAAGTCGCTTAACCCCAATTGCCAAAAAAATAAAAAATAAAATAAAATAAAATAATGCTTTAAGAAAAATAGTAAGTTATAAATTACACATTACTTTCAAAACGATCCTGGGCTGAGCTTTTTTCTAAACTTCAACTATTCTATGCATTTAAAAAAAAACAAAACACTTCAATGGCCTAATTTAAAAAAACATAATTCCCTCCATGTTCCCTTATCCTTATCTCCCATTAAAAACCAAGAGGGCAGGAGGAAGAAAAAAAAAAACTCGTTACAAGGAAATATAGCCAAACAAAATTAAAACCACACTCTGTCCAAACATGTATGTCTCTTTCTGCATCTGGTGTCCATTACCTCTTTGTCAGGAGGTAGCTAACACACCTCATCAGAAATCCTACAGAAACATGCTAGAGTCATTACCCTGACCAGAGTTTTAAAGTCTTTCAAAGTTGATTTTCTTCTAAATGTTGCAGTCCTTCCATACATTTTTCACCTAGTTCTGCTTATTTCACTCTATGTAAATTTGAATAGGGCTTGTTGATTTCCTATGAAACTGTTCACAGTATCTTACAAAACAGTATTTTACTGCATTCATATACCATTAAATTTATTCAGCCATTTCCCAATTGATTGGCCCCTTCTTTTTTCCTTTCAATCTCTGCTTCAGAATTAGGAATTTTCTTTTACTTTGCAACAATTTCCTCCCTGGTTTTATGTTCTCTTCTAATCTTCCTCCCTTTCCCCACTTATTTCCCTGTTGAGGATGAGATTATTTTTACATCAAACTGTTTGTGTCTATGTGCTTTTAATCTCCTTTAGTTTATTTTAGGTAAGTGAGGATAACCTTATGCCATTTCTCCTGCTCCTTCCCCAAGTTTATTTACTCTTCTCATAAGTTTCAGTTCTTATTTCTATACCAGTTTCTGTTTTCCTCTCTCTTCTCTTTCACCTCTTTAAACTCTCAGAACATAACTGATCCACCCTCAGGACCTCTGTTTTTTTTTTAACTCCTTAAATATGCTTAACAGACATTAAGGTAAGGTGGAGCCATGATAGTAGAATAGAGGTGGCACAACAGCCAAGCTGTCCCAACATTCCTTCCATAAAACTTTAAAGTAATACCTCAAATAGAATGCGAGAGTGGCACAGCCAAAAAAAAAAAAAAAGGATTAAAGTGAGATATTTTTCAAGCCCAAGACAATTTAAGAGGTCAGAAGGAGAAATCTGTGACATTGGGATGGGGGTTGGTCTGGTGTGTATGCAGCAGCAATGTCAGTAACTCTCAGCCCAGAGATGGTAAGGAGATTGGAAAACTGGTCAGAAAGATATTACAGGGGACCCCTCTGCTAGCACTGGACACAGGACTGGGAGTTATTTTGTGCATCTCCACTGCTCATATCCAGTTCTGGATCACAGTTTCAAGGAAGAAAGTAGACCTTTTGGTCACAAGAGAGGAGGTGCCCTGGTTCAAAGAAAGAGGAATGCTTAGCACTTGCAGCTACAAAGCAGTAGGGCCTTTCCTGGGTGAAGACCAGAGGAGAAGAGCAGTAAACACAACTCTCCCAGGCTCATACAACCTTGGAAGCACTGAAATTTTAGAGACACCCAGAACTATGTATAAAGAGAACTACATGAAAAAATCTATAGTTTGGGAATCCCACCCCCACTCCCAGAAAAGCAGAACCTAACTTTAACATAAAGATCAAAATCAAGCAACAGGCTGGAAAAATGAGCAAACAACAACAAAAAAAGAACCTGACCTGCTATGGTGACAGGGAAGACTGATATGAACTGACGCAAAGCGAAGCGAGCTGAACCATGAGATCATTGCACACAATAAGAGCAATATTATAACAGTGATCAACTGTGAAAGGCATAGCTATTCTGATCAATACAATGATCCAAGACAATTACAAAGGACTCATTATCAAAAACATTATAGACCACCAGAAAGAACTGATCGACTCTGAGTGCAGATTGAAGTATATATTTTTTCTCTTCAGTTTTCTTTTCTTTCTTTTTCTTGGGGGAGAGAGAAGGGGCAACATGCCTTACATAGAAATGTTTTGCATGACTTCATATGTATATTTGATATCATATTGCTTGCCTTCTCAATGGGTGGGACAGAGGAAGGGAAAGAATCTGGAACTCAAAATTTTAAAAAATGAATGTTAAAAGACATTAAGCTTCTAAAGGGACATTTGTTTCTTCTCGCTATTAAAAGTCTTAGCACTATATCATCATACAGTCCCTTCCTGTGGGGAATATACTTCTTTAAGTTTTTCTAATTCCTTATTTCTATATTTCCAAGTTGCTACTCTGCTTTGACCTTTACATCAAAAATGCCTGAACATTCTCAATTCCATTAAAGATCCATTTTTCTCCCTGTAGGATTAAATTCAGTGTCGCAGGTTTAAATTATTTTTTCTAAGTCTCTTTCACTTGTATATTAGAATATATTCCATGATGTCTCACATAAAAGTTCCCAGACCCAACGTGACTATAATCCCTTAGTACTTTAACTCCTCTTTCCTGGATGCTTGGAGACTATTTTTTCTTTTGATTTGGAAGCTCTTGATTTTATCTATGATGTTCCTGGGACTTTTCATTTTCATTCAGCAGATGATCAGGGGATCCTTTCGATGTTCACTTTGTCCTCTGTTCTAACAGATTTAAGCAGTTTTCATTTATGATTTGTTGAAAAATAGTATCTAGGCATTATTTTCATGTTTTTTCAGGGACTGCAGTGATTCTTAAATTAACTCTGACATCTTTTCCTTTTTTTTTTTAAATATATTAGCTTATAATTTCTCATATTTTTCAATATTTTCATTTTTTCCCTAATATTTCTAGCTTTCTCATGGACTCAATTATTTCTTTCTGGACCATTTTAATTTTTAAGAAGTCCATTATCTGAGTAAGACTTACCACTTTTTCTTATAAATTTATTCTCTTTCCATTGCTTTCCTCCTGAACTTTTATTTCATTTTTTTGACACCATTTCATTTACATATTCATTTATCCTTTATGGAAAATCCATTTTCCCCCTTCTAAGTCACAGTTCTTATGGAGTTACACTCTTCTTCTAGTTTGGATTTTGAAGCTTTTCTAGACCTACAATAATTTTTTTATTCATACCAATAGTCACTGTCTTTCATTTATTCATCTCTCTAGCTTCAGTTGTTGATTTAAAATTTAATTTTGGGTGAGGTGATTGACCCTGCTTCTACCATGGTTCCCCTAGATCTTTAAGGTTCACTGTGCTGGATTTTCAGGATCCTCTATGTCTTAGGACTGATGAACTCAAGAGCCCCTGGGTCTTTCCTGGTCTGAGCACTGCTGCAATCCACTGGTTACTTCTGTTCCTGGGGGCTTCTAAACCGATCTA